TCRGAATAGGGAGTCATACAAGCATATRAYTGTACCCAATTCTTATTTGATAAAAAGGAGACATGGACGAAGGACTCTAAGRAGACAGATAACAAGCTTCTCTATTTTCTGGCTCATTGTATCCAGTAGGTACAGAAAGCCAGATCAGTATATTTTATTCATACTTACTTGAGTAGCTTTATTTATCTAGGATAGTTACCATCTGTGAAAACCAGTGCTTTGGACAAAAATAATGGAGGACACAGAATCTAGTAAGAAAGAATAAATGGGCCTTCCAAATKTAGTTTGCTGAAAATATTGAAATCAGCTGGCAAAAGGGTATTTCTTGTGAAAATATATTTTCAAGGGAGAGATGAGAGGGTGTAGTRCAAGGCATAAAGAAACTAAATGGGAAGTGAAAGATGTTTTAAAGCTGCTAATGATGTAACTTTTGAATGGAAATACTTAGGACACTGAAACCAAGTATTTTTAACTTCTTAGATAAATTTGAATTTTAAAATTCCACATTGGGTGATAAAAAATGTGGCAGAGGATTTTACATTGACACTCATACACACAAAGRAAACTAAAACACAGAGAAAGTTTATTTTTTAAAAGTGTGAAAGGCAGTTTTCTCGAACCCTGTTCTGGTGTGCTTTCTGTGTGTAAGTAGGCCCTAAGTATATTATCCCCTGGCTGTTTTCCCCTCAGATAATCTGTGCATCTGTTTCATTCATTTTGTCATAGGTACACCTGACAAAGAACTTCAATCACATAAACCCTGGCTGCTTGGCAAACACATAAGTAATACAACAAATGGTAAGTTACAGATAAACTTATATATAACTGTTGCCTCTGGTTTGGTATGCCTTCAACAGCATCACTTCAGTGCACAGCTGCAGATTTTGCCTGTTTTTGTTTTAGACTCAGTGTGTTTTGTAAGCTGTGTATGATGCATGAGTACAACTACAGCATATGTTGTTTATGAGCCCTTAATCTTTTCTTCACTTGAGGCAGCAACGCCCCCCCACAGTTTGCCGCGTTCCATCTGCATCACTTGTCTTGAATTGTAGATTTGTATCATGGCAGAGTATAGAAAAGGTATCTTCAATCTTCTCATGACAGCTGCACAGCATTTTTCTAGGCTGACAGTCCTTGTCAAATCAACAACAAACCTGCTGCATCCAGTGCTGCTGATTTTCCATGAGGCATTTTAAAATGCCCAGCGTTTAGTGAGGACAATTTTTACTTCCCATCCAATTTACCACGGTATCACTGTGGAATTTCACCCAAGGACAAGCAGAATATACTCAACCTGTCCTACAGCACTGTAGTACTCCCTAATAAGGTGAAATACAGTGTTTTGAAAATGTATATTCATGTATATCCCTAATAGCCTAATGAAGGTAAAACACATTCAGACATGTAGAATACCTCACTAAATCAAATCTTAGTCCTGTGCATTTTCTAACCAGGCCAATCATAATTTTCATTTGTAATTGTGCCATATTGTGTCAACAAATATTTAGCAGAAGAGGGTCTTTAGCTCAGGTTTTATCATGTTCTAATTGCCCTTGTATTATTTTTTCCTATTGCAAGTTTGGCTAATATATCCCTAATATATCTGTCCTGATAWAGAAATGTTTTTCAGTGAGTACTGTAATAAATTGAAGTAATAATCTTAATTCTGTCAGGATAACTCTTTACTTTTACTGCAGGTGGGCTCAAACCACCTTTTTCTCCAAGAGGAAGCAAGATAAAACTGGAGAAATGGCCTTTGAGAGAAAAACTGTATCCCTGGTCAAGAGTTCACATGAAGGTACTTTTTTTTAAACACTTACTGAGAAGTTTTTGCAATGGCACTGGAAGAATATACAATGTAAAAGTGTAAAACTATTGCATCAGAAAATCGACCTCATAGTACTTGTTACATGGGTTAATACAGGAGAGTCTGCATTTTGAATTGAATCTATTTTAACAGAAAACTATTATTTTTATCAGCCTGTTTTAGTCTGTTGTATTTTCCCTAAGTAGCAGATTCAACTTCAAGGACTAATTTATGCATTGCAGTTCTGTGAGTGTCTTGGTTTCCAAAATGTTTTCAGGAATTGTGGTAAGCTCATGTCACTGTTAATTAACCTTAAAGGCAAGACAATGCAATTGCTCTGTAATCACAGAATGATAYTACAGAGGTTTTTTAGCCACTGTTGTTTCTAACTTTTAAATTAGTTTTAGGAAATAGCAAAACAATTTAGTAAGTCACACTGAAACTTGAAATAATCAAAGTGGAAACTGTTTGGCCAGTAACTAAATATTGCTCATTAACTACTGATAATTATTAATGTGCTAGGCAAATTATTACAGATTTTATTTCCAGTGTGAGAGCTGGTCAAATCATCATAAATTCTACAAAAGTCTTGCAAATGTAATTTTATCATTTGTTTCAGATGCTGCTAAAACCTTTGAAATGACTGCATGACTTCTTTAAGTGACCTTCCAACATGAAATTTACCTCTGCAAACACCTGTTTGTATCAGGTAATGAGATGAAATTTCTTTGATGACCAATGTAGAGTGTAGTAATTTCTGGTTTACTATCAGTTGTGCAAATTCATGTAATTTGTTGTGTTAATTCATATGCAATTTCTTAAATTGAAAACTGTCTTGTTTATAAAATCTTTATAGCGAYTGTAAGCCTACAGTTCTTCCCAAAAATCTGACTAGCTTTGAATTCTAAGTGTCAAAAACAGAGTACTTTTTATTTCAGTATTACTCAAGTATTCCTCAGTGGATTTTCCATTAAGCTGCTCTGATTCCATTCCTGAGCACGAGGGAAGGAGGGTTTTCTTAAAGACTGTAGGAATGGAGAAGGTCAGGACGGCATGAAAGAAGAGTATTTTTCACACCACAGAATTAGAAACTGATTTAAAGTTTTCAATGTAAAATTACAGTCTGACCTCTGTTCTGCAGAGGTTAAATTGCRTGTTTTTTGACCCTTTACCAAAACAAAATTTCTGATGAAAATCTTGATTTACGTAAAATCAAACCAAACCAAACCAATCAACCCCTCACTCAGACTACATTATGCTTAATACACTTCTTGTGATATTAGTAAACTCTAAAATGATAATTAAATTCAATCCATCAACTCTGTTCTTCCCCAAAATGCTGAGCAGGAATGAGGAGTGATAACAAATCAAATAGATATATGCATCACTAATCCATACAGCTCAGCTCTCCTTGAAATGTAAATTCCAGAAAGGGACTTGCATTTTCAAGGATGCACACAGCTTCTGCTAACYGGTGCTCCTGCATTCAGCTCATTTAAAGATTAGCTGTAAACTTCAGAGAAGAAAGAGAAAGACTTGATGCCTGCAAGCATAAATATAGAAAGACATTAGAGTTTTCTCCCTTCCTTTTTCTTTGAAGGCTACAAAATTTAATGTGGCATATAGACACGTGAATTCTTCAATTATTAGCATCTACCTGAAACTTTTGTTAAAGTATACATTGTTTTCAAYTTTGTTTCTTGTAGGAAAAAAAATAAGGAAGAGAGGGGGGGAAAAAGAGAGAGTTTTGCAATGTATAAGAAACAGTTATATATTTCTATCTGATATAAGCTGYGTTTATGTTGCTCCCTTTGCTAATGAATTTCTGAAATGAGTGGACTGGAAGGAGTTGTGTTTATCACTGAGATCGCCTTTGTCAGAAAGAACCAGCTGAGCCAGACAATACTGGGGATCTGGATTTGGGTGTTCTGTTATCAGACAAAAGTGCTGTGTCCACAAAATAAAAAGAGTTATTCTGATACACAATCCCACTGTTAATTCAGAGTTCAGAAATTGTCTGGTTTAGCTTTTTACTTGATGAAAGACAAAGAAGACACTGCTAGACTGCACAACTGTAATTATTACAGTTTGCCTATCCAATGTCCTTGTAGAGATTGTAGAAGACCAGCATAAACATCCTGTTCTTGACTAAGTTGAAACAAATATATTTGTATTTCCACAGATTTTTATTGACATTTTACTTCTTAGAGCCTGCATCAGACCAACATTAATGATTGAGAAACCACAATCTCAGAAAAAATGGCAGAAGTAAAAAAGATTTGAGCCATCTATACAAATCAGAGATGTAAAAAATCATACTCCAGAAAGGTAATTTCAGAGATTAATTTTATGCTAATGAAAATAATTTTCTCTCATATGAACATATACAAGTAGTGGAACAGATAAAGAATAAGATTTATTATATATTTTTCAACATTTTACATTTATTGAGAGAAAATTTGATGAARGCTATTTCCACATGGTCTGAGTCTGATTCTCTCCAGCTTCAGAAGAATACTGATACCTGCCTAAGTAGCTCTCTCACAACTATTAGAAGCCTAAAATTCAGCCCTAGAATGCATACCTTTTGGTCTGGGAAGTGGGAGAATGCCACGGGACGAACTCCTTTAGGCTGAGCAGTGACCTAGACAGAGGGCATAGATGCAGGACCCTCACCAGGGTTYGGTGGAGTCTGATGCTTGGAGTTGATTTTCTTCTTTGGTATTGATATGATAAAACATTTATATGAAAAAGGAAAAAAGATCAGCACAATGGTGTTAAAAAAAGAAGAAAATAAAATCCTAATGCAGGGCTGCAGATGGGTGTGGTTCTTCCATATAACCTGAGAATGTCATACTGAGCATACTGAACTGTGTCTGAGGAATGTAACATAGCAAGAGGTTATTTTAATGTTGAGAGTATCCCATGGTCTGCATCAGAAATGTAAAAATAAAACTGCACCATGCTTCAGGGGGCAAGCAATTTTTTTTTTCTTTAACAAGAGTCAGTGTGCCAATGGAGATATATAAACTAAATTCAGGAGAACACTAGTAATCACAGGTACAAATATAATTCATATGGTAGTACTATGAGCTTTTCCATTCAGGAGCAAAGTGAAATAATTTATATAATCAAATATTGCATATCAATCAAATACAGTTTCTCATATTAATAACTTTTTAATTTTTTTTTTTTTAAATATAGAGTATCGGTGTTCCTGGGATATTTTAATTTCTTTACATTCAGAACTCTCACTTTAATCTTCTTCAAACAGTTCATGTTCTTACTTTGGAGATAATTTTTGCAAACCAAAAAGAGTGAGAGTGTGGTTTAATACTAATTATATACAGACAGGTAGCTTCTAGTTCACCTATTCAAAATTACAGGTGAAATAGATTCCTTCTATTATTAATTGATTAAATACTTCAGCATATTAAAGAGGATGAATTATTTATTGGAGCTACTATATATGCCCCTGTTTTAACATACAGTTTAAACTTATTTCATGAAAAATTCTAGAAATCAATACCACTATCATGTGGGATATAAAAAATACTAACGACAAAAAAATACAGAACAGTCAGAATAACATTTCCAATATTTACATTTTTTACAGTTAGATGCATTTTTCCAAAACAGCAGAAATCTTGTAGAGAAACATCTTTGCTAAGTCTGCTGAAGTTGATGTATTTGCATGATGAAAGACCAGAATATGACTCCCAGTAGTCATACAGATACATAAAACTTATTTTTTCCAACATAAAGAGTACMATTTCAATGAGTCAACAGATGTCTTATTCCAATGAAATGTATAACCAGTATGTAAATTCTCATAATACGAGTCTTTACAGTTCAGAAAGATATGCCTGAAAGTTTATCTCAGCCCCTTTTTAAGAAACATTGATCCCAAATGCGTTAATGCCAGTCAAAGGAATGATTAACCATCCTGTAAAATTTTGCATTGTGCTCTCTGAAGTAAGAATACAGTTGCTCTAAAACAGTGCTGTTAACAAGAGGATGGGGCCGCCCTTTGGATTCATGTAAACATCTCTCCCTCCCGTCACTTCTAATGCAGTAGAACCCCTTGGTTTGGTTAAAATAAAAATTAGAAGACACAATTCGGGAAGGAAGATTTAGAAATCTTTCAACTTTTTGTAATTCAGGAAGAGGGTCCTTGATTAAAGTATTGCCATCCACTATGTGAATCTGATCCAAGCTGAAATGCTTAAGCCACTTTTCCATATGGACATCATATAGACTTCTCTGAATAGCTTTGTATTTGGTATTAAGCACTCCATTCTTAATAACAATATCTTCAAAAAGCTGAACAGGCTTGTGGCTTTCTACTCTGTTGTAATATACTTGGGTATAGTCAGATATAACTCTCTCAGTGGGATCTCTTAGAATGAGCAGCAGTTTAATGGAGCTATTCATGTCATGAATTCTTCCTGGAGCCTGTGGTGATGTAAAATAGCCTGGTGTTTTCTCAATTGTAATTTGATTTCCGTAAGAAAATGGCATCAGATTTCTATACCASTCTATTCCTTTCACGTAATTTTCATCCCAGTCAAAGAAGTGGACTTCTGTAGCTGCTACYACAATGTTAGGATGGATATCCAACATTTCCAGCAAAGCCCTGGTCCCTCCTTTGCGAACTCCTATGATGATTGTCTGAGGTATTTGTCGGCTYGTGCCAGGAGGTCTCACCTGTGCTGAATAGTGTTCGCTTTTATTGCTGAATAATCCCACTTGTGACTTCAGTGTTTCCAGCAGGGCCCCATTGTCAGCAGGAGCACCCCGAGCATGAGTCAGCAGAAGGTAAGCTGACACCAGGAGGAAGGCCATGTGGAGAGGAATAATTATTTCCAGATAATGTTTTGCTCGACTAAGGAAAGAACAGGTGAGCCCCCTCTTGAGATGGTTGGCAGAACCCGTGGTAAACACACACCAAGTTTCTGAAGCATCTAAAAAATAAAATAAGACAGGTCAGTGTTTCTAAACTCATCATCAGTTGAAAATTCAGCTCACAATTCAATTCACCTATCTAATTTGTCATCCCATTGGAARATTGATAGAGAAGTTATAGAAAATTTGTAGGGAAATTATTTGTTTTCCCTGACTCTGTTTCAGAAGGACAAAACCCATGTGTTGGGTATTTTTTTTTCTCCTTGCCATGAGCGACCAATGATGGATACTGACCTTTCAACAGCCTTTATTTCTTCTAAGCAGAAGATTATAAGTGTTGACCTAATTTTAAATGGTTGACCATTTGTTGCTTGCTTTGATTATCCTAATTATCTTCCATATATACCACATACTTCCCTTGTTATAAATATTGCACCCAGCGTGATAATAATAATTCCAGAGGATCTTTGAATGTCAATACCTTTCCTTAAATTCCTCACTAGAATAATATATTCTTACACAAATAACAGACCTGGATGATGATGCCACCATTTGTATTCTAGTGAGCTGTGGACCACACGAAAATAATTCTGCTTACTTAGACACAGTAAACAAAACAGATATAGGCAAAGTTTTGGAATCTGAGCCCTTTAGAGCAGAAAACTAACTGTGTCAAAGCAAGGGTAAAGTGGCTGAGYTGGAACAGTGTGGGGAAAAAACAAAATATTCAGGGTGGATGGATTCTTTGCAACCATCCAAGTGCTGTGATGCATAGTCATGTGAGTGTTGGAAAAATCTTGGCAAAATCAGATCTTCAGACAGTATTCTGCAGTTCCTTCAAAGAAATACCCAGATGTTTTCTGGGCACTCAGAGATTTCTGCAGGGAAGTAAGTCTGCTTGAAGCTGAATAGCTTCTTTTACTTAATCCACATAGTATATGATCATTTTAAGAAGTGGCACAAATGTTAACTATCTTCAAAATTTGCAGAAACTTCAGGCTCATAGGTATGTGCACATGTAAGTGAAAGAAAACCCCTCTCTGTGTAATTGTGGTAATTGCATTTGAATACTCTTGGTAACTCTTGTATATAATATTTGAAACMGATTTCTTACAGATCTCCCATCACAACAGCAGCAAAATCAGATCAGTGGAATGTCTGCATGAAACCACTGTGCTTGGATTGCTTGTCCTGTAGGATTTTCAGACTTACAGACAAATTCCAATTGAAAGGATTCTTGAGTTTCACTCCATTTCTGAGCAATTATAGGATTTTAARATTTGTAGCATATATCTATATTGTTTTGTTTTCAATGTAGCATGCAGAAACAAGCTATTTCRTACAGTGAAGCAGCAATCATTTAAAAAACAATAACAATTTTTGGAATAGTTTTGAATTATGGTTCATTTTTTAAAGTAGTCTCAGAAATGTTATAACCTTAGCTCCTTCTCCAGTGTTCCCTGTCTCKTTCTTTTTCTGAATATATTGGTCACAGTACTTCATTTCTTAAAAACAGCCTTAGAAAACACAGCCAATTCCCATTTGTCATGGCTCTGAGGAGCATTCAATATTTCTATTTAAAATTGTTTACTTTGAGTCTTACTTTACGGGTGTAAGGATTTTAAATTTTTGATAATAACAGTCTAGGCAATGCAGCAAATTCATTAAATCTATTTTCTAAATCTTATTAAAACCTTCTCCAGCTTCTTGGATGTCTAGGGAATGACTCTTGTCAGCCTCAATGAGCACTAAACTCAGAGATATATAGCAAATATTAMCCCTAAAATTGTCATTTAAAAAATAAACTGTGACCTTTAGTGAGGAAATCTGTGGAGAGCATTCCCTATCATGTCCAAGCAAGACTTAAAGGGCAACTGCTTCTTCAAAAAGAGCAGTTTCAACTAGGAAAAGTGAGTACACAATTACTAAATATTGGAAAAGTCCAAGTACAAATAGGCTTTGTAATGACAGACTGAAATACTGTTCTCCTATATGAACTTGAAAGGAAGTTTCGTTTTAAAGATCACATTTTTTTTTTAAGAACTTCATGTGGAAATTCCAGTTGAAGTTCCCAAGAGCAAGGAAYGCAAGAATTTCTGTGGGAATTACAGGAAGGAAGAAGAACAGGTATGTTTATACCAAAACCATTTATAGTTACTGTTTCTTTGGATGCCAAGTTTGGGAAATGGTAACCATGCTGTTTAATRCTGCCAAGGAATTAAAATAAATTCTGCTGTAATGGCAGCTAATGCTGGTTTTGGAAAGCTCCTTAGGACGCGCAGCATGAAATTTGAAACTTCTCACCCCAGATGATTCCTGAAATGCCAGCCTTCAAAGAAGGGACTCTGCTTTAATAACTTCAAGCCAAATKTTTCATGATTCACAAGGTTCCTGAAGAGCTCAGTCTGAGGAAGGGCAGAGTTATGCATAAGATRATTTCGGAAGTAGCAGCATATGACAGCGTAGCCGCTTTCCAGACCTGTAATGCCACCAGGCTGGGATGTGGCAGTGGGAGCCAGAGCAGTTAATCTTTCTTTTAACCTGTTCTGAAAYCCCAGTGTTAGTTTACATTCTATTCATTTTCCTTGTTAAATTAAAACTCTTTYAGGAACACTGAGGACTTGGTTTYRTAAAAATATATTTTTTTYCTCGACTTACCTCTCTCGTGCTAATGCAGCATGTTATAGATTATAAATGCACTTACACATCTATACATTAGATTACAAGTGCTTTGAACTGAGGCAAGAGCAGTCTGAATGTCTGCCAAGCAAGGAATTACAAATACCAAGGTGGAGACATACAGCTCATCATCTGATTCAAATTCTGGAACTCTCCCATTTTGAAACAGCTTCATGAACTGATTCTTGACAGGTATTTTTGGCAACTTTATTTAACCAGAAACAAAACTATTTTTAGACTTTCTGAGACTAAGCGTTCTTGAAACTAACTAGGTTAATAGCTTAAATTGAAAAAATAGAAAGGAAGAGGCAAAAAAGCAGGAATTTCTCTGAAATAAACTAAAACCGGAGTAAAAAAGAAATGGAAGTATTTGATACTGGGACCCTGCAGTAGTTTAGACAGAGATGTGCTCTTTCTACATCTGGTGAGAGATGAAAAAATTCTCAAATTCACTTTTTTATTTTATTAAAAGAATTCGAACACATTAATATTATTTTATCCCTAGTTAACTGAGTTTTCTAGTTTCATGCACATGAGAATCAGGTGCAAATACTGGAACCCTTAGTAAAGAAAGAAGACAGTAAGCTGAATGAGAGTCCCATTTATCACTGAGGAAAKATTGGTCTTCCAAAATATTCTCAGGTTCACTTGTGATGTGAGACTCTGCCTAATTTACCATCTGAAATCAGCAGTTCTCTGTAAAACACACTTAGACAGCAAGTAGCAGARGAGATTCTGCATTTTCTGTGGACTGAAGTATATTTTAAAAATAATTATGTTAATTTAACAAGTTTTCAAATTATTAGTTGTTTTACAAATTTTTTAGAATCATTGCTAGGAAAAAAACCCTTACACAGGAAATACTATAGAATAAAGCAAATTCAGAATGTGCTGTAAAAYTGGTGCCTAAAGAGATCAAAATTGCCTTTGGGAGCAATTCCATTAGAAAAACTATCCAGCTTTGGCCCAAGATATTTGATTGATTTCAGTGAATCTCTAAGATGTTAGATCCTGTGGTTAGGTTGYAATTGCTACATAAATGTAAAGGTTTTAAAGAAGATTTATCATWTATAATTGCAATGTTAGCTGAATAATTTTTATGTTGTTGTTTCTACTTCTTTATGCAATTACATGCACATTTTTAGAAGATATTAACTGCTTTTTATAATGAAAACAATAYGTCTTACATTGGTGCACTGCACCAATGAAGACACTGAAAGTATTCTTATGCAATTAACCCCATGACACATGACCAGAATTACAGAACCTTATTGCCTTTTTTTCCTGTTATTTGGTAGTGTTAATGCTGTTTAGTAGCATAAGGCGTATCAGCAGATACGATGCTTATAAAGCAGAAATGAAGCTCAGAAATAAATTCATGCTGCAGAAAGGACTAATTAAGTAAATAATACCTTGGGCTGCTGTTTGTTTTACTTCTTTAAAACCTTAGACTAGACTGGAGGAGCTGCTATGCTGGCTGAAAAATCATTTTAATATTATAGAAATGTACGAAAGACTGCTGCACTCTAAAAATCTTCTAAGCAGCTTACGATTTATCTTGCTTTGGGGCAAAGTACAAAATCATAGGTAAACCTAAATATACTATTATTACTAATTTAAAACTTTATTAGTTCCTAATAATACTTCCCACTGCCTGTAGTGTTTTTCATTGGAGAATTTTGCAGTACTCTGTACTAATGAACTGCCTGCACCTTATTAAGGCACCATTCTCACCTTACAGGAAATTGCAACTGACCAATGCAYAGATCCAGTTCAGGAGTGCAAATGCTTGGGGAAGTCAGGTTAATGTGATCTTCTCAAGGTCATATAGCAGGTTTATAGTCCAGCCAAGAATAAAACCCCAGGGCTTCTAATTCTCCATCCAATTCCTCTTCCAGTTCCAACTTTGTGTCACTCAACGGCAGCCTCTCACAGCCCTTATGATAACCTATAGCTGGATTACCCACTGAAATGAAAAGCAAAGAAGTTCCTCGATGTTTCAGCATAACACTCAAGTATTTTGTGGAATAAAGCTGTTTCTTTTGACTTGCTCCCCACAAAAAAAAAAAAAAAAAAAAAAAAAAAAAAAAAAAAAAAAAAAAAAAAAAAAAATTGAATCAAGTACAAACTCAGGATTTTTTTGTTTCAAGGTATTTGTGCAAAAATACTCCTGTTGGTGACTGAAAACTTCAACAAGGGGAGGTCAGAGCAAGTATAACAAGGCAACAATTTTTGTCGTGGTTTATAAAAATATATTTGGATTCCAAAAAATGTACTGCTTTTCCTGTTAATTGCTAATAGATATGAACTCACCCCAACACAAAGATCAGTCACTGAGAGGAGTACAGTTCAAACATGTTGCTGGGACAACA